CAGGGCACAGGTCAGGGCTGGTCCGTGCCGGTGCTGTCTATGATGCTGTCTGTCCCTCTGTGGGCCATCATCATCGCCAAGATGTGTTCAAACTGGGCCTACTACACCCTGCTCACCTCTCTGCCCACATACATGGACAACATCCTGCACTTTGACCTCAAGTCGGTGAGGCGTCAATTCATTGTGTCATTAAAATGTATATCAAAATTGACCTCTGCTTTCTTTGTGGAGGTGGCGGGTGAGAGGAATACCAGCAACTTTTCACCACAGACTCAATCTTTGCTTTATAAGATTGTGCTAGTTGGTTTCTGTCACTCATCAGCACTGGAAGGAAAGAAAATTAAAGGAATAGTTTGACAAGTTAGCCAATACTGTAGGTTTATTCATTTAAAACATGAGTGGTGGGTGACAGCTCTTAAGATTATGCTGTAATCTACTAATTTACCAATCTCTTAAGCGTGAACAAGGACGGACCGTGTTTATTCTCTTTCTTTACTTCCCCAGGGTCACAAACATTTGAATGAATCTGTCTGGTCTTCCTGTCCGCCCTGCCGTACCTCGGTGGCTGGTTAATCTCCATACTGTCGGGATTTGTGGCTGACAACCTCATTGAGAGGAGGGTGTTCAGTGTCACTGTCGTACGCAAGCTCTTCACCCTCACAGGCGAGTGAACTACATCCTCTCTTATACTCTTACATACGTGTGCATGCGCTCCTGTAAGTGGGGGATTGGTTCTGTGTCTAGTTGACTGTCACAGGACACTGGATGCAGGTTTTGAGGAAGTTAATGGCATTCTGTGAAGTGGTTTACTGTTTGACTTCAATATTTACTGTGTGATCTGTAATCCCACGTTCACATTGGTCCTGGACTGCTTTGCTTTAAAAACACTTTTTTAGCCTCTAACTTCATGTCACACTGTTCCCTCTTTATTTCTACATTGCTGCTCTAATGACGTTGGCAGCTATATTATTAATAAGAACATCTGTTCATGAGGAGGTGTGCATTTATGAGATTTGATTATTAGCATAATCAAAGTCCCCTAAAGTGCCATATAAGGATATCTATGCTGTTTGATTAGTGGGAAAGTCTCATTCAGAAAATTGTCTGCTGCCAGAAATCAGCATAAAAAACAGTCAGTAGTCGTATTAGAGGAGCCCAAACAATTACATCGTGTTAATAGTGCGTGTGTCAGGGTTGAGCAGAACAACCCTCTGCAACAGAATTAAAGAGGGAGTAGTTCAGGCTACATGAAGTTAATACACTAAAAACTGAAGCGGCACCGTCCTGGAGTGACTTGAAAAACACACACTCAACCAGTGATGTTTTCTTAACAAATGGTGGTATTTTCCTCCTTTTTAACATCCCATCTCCTCCCTCTGCAGGTATGTTGCTGCGTGCAGCTTTCCTCATGGCCGTGAGCTATGCTGGCTGCAGCCACATCCTTACCGTCACCTTCCTCACACTGTCCATAGCCACAGGAGGGATCAGTGGCCCCGGAGTCTTCATCAACCAGATAGACATCGCTCCTCGGTGGGTGTTACCATCTCTCTCTGCTCAGAAATGTTCTGAAATGAAATGTCCATTTGTACCAGGAATTCAAATTTTATTTGAAAAGCACCAAATCACAACAAAAGTAATCTCAGGACACTTTACAAAGTAAGGTCTAGACCTTGCAAATATCACTATTATTATAGAGGAAAACCCAACAAATCCCCCTTGAGCAAGCACTTGGCGACAGTGGGGAGGAAAAACTCCCTTTAACGGAAGAAACCTACAACAGACCCCAACTGTTGGTGGGCAGCCTTCTGCCTCGACCGGTTGGGGTGAGTGGATAGAGGAGAGAGAAAAGAAGAAAAGCAACAAGACACAACAATCAAACACTGATCAGGTCGATGTGGCTGGTGACTGCTCATCAGAGACGTAGAGCTCCAGGGCCAGGGCAACCTGCAGAAAGGTACAGGGAGAGAGAGAGGACACACTACGGGAGAGAGGAGACACACAGTTAGTGATGGGTAGTGGTGGCATGTAGATGGATGGAGTGAAGAGAGGAGAGGATCATATCATAGGGCCCCCAGCATTCTAGGCCAAAGCAGCATAACTAAGGGAAGGCTCAGGGTCACCTGATCCAGCCCTAAATATAAGCTTTTCTTCTATTCTGAATTTTACAGGTAGCCAGTGGAGAGAAGCAAATACGGGAGAAATGTGATCTCTCTTGCTAGTTCCTGTCAGTACACTGGCTGCAGCATTTTGGATTAACTGGAGGCTTTTTAGGGAATTATTGGGACATCCTGATAGTAAAGAGTTACAGTAGTCCAGCCTGGAAGTAACAAATGCATGGACCACTTTTTCAGCATCACTTTGAGACAGGATGCTCTTGATTTTTGCGATATTGCACAGGTGAAAGAAGACAGTTCTAGAGACTTGGTTTATGTGTGATTTAAAGGACATATTCTGGTCAAAAATGACTCCAAAGGATATCTTTGAACAGCCTTGCCATGATGGGCTCTAAGATGTTGATGATTTAGATGAAACAACTGGTGAGGTCAACTCAGACAGATCAATGGGAGAAAAGCAGTCTAAATATAAATGAGGTCTTACAGATGTTTCTAAAGCCATTGTAGTTGATGACACATCTGTGAGAGTTGTGGGAATGATCTGATTAATTTTTTTCTGTAATAGTTGTGATTTTATTTGTAAAGAAACTCATGAAGTCGTTACTACTGAAATCCAAGGGAATGTTCAGCTAAACTGTGGCTCTTTGTCAGCCTGGCTACAGTGCTGAAAAGAAACCTGGGGTTGTTCTTATTTTCCTCTATCAGTGATGAATAATATGCAGTTCTGGCACTATGAAGGGCTTTTTTTTATATGTTAATAATCTTTCCAGGCTATGAAAAACTCTTTTGACTTAGTGGAGCGCCACCACCTTTCCAGTATTTGTGATGCGAGCTGTACTATGGGGCTAGCCTCCTCTGGTTCACTGCCTTTTTTTCAGAGGGGCAACAGTATTAAGTGTATTATGCAGGGAAGCTGCAGTACTATCAACAACATTAATGACTTGTGTGGGAATAATGTTAAGGTGGCCTCCCTCCATTGTGTTGGTAAATGGCACTTAAGTAAATAATGATGAATTATTTCCTTAAATTTGGTAACAGCATTGTCAGACATCTAATCTAGCCACAGGGGTTGTAAGCCAGTGACTTCTGTGCCGGTCCCAAGCCCGGATAAATAGATAGGGTCACGTCACGAAGGGCATACGGTGTAAAAACATGCGAAATTTAAACATGCAAATCATCGGTTTTAATTCCATACTGGATCTGTTGAGGCCCGGGTTAAGAAGGACTGCCACCAGTGCTGTTGACCTACAGGGTGCTGGCGAAAATTGGACTACTGTTGGTCGAAGAAAGAGAGGAGGTAGAAGGATTCGTAGACAGAGAGAGAAGAGGAAAGGCAGGAGTATAGGTCCAAAGGTAGAACTGGTGGACATGATGGAGAGAAGGAAGGTAGATGTATTGTGTGTGCAGGAGACCAGGTGGAAGGGTAGCAAAGCGCATAGCATTGGAGGGGGATACAAACCGTTTTATTATGGTGTGGACAGGAAGAGAAATGGAGTAGGAGTGATCCTGAAGGAGGAGCTCGTGAGGAATGTTTTAGAGGTGAAAAGAGTGTCAGACAGGGTGATTAGTTTGAAGTTGGAAATTGAAGGGGTAATGTTGAATGTAGTCAGTGGTTATGCTCCACAAGTAGGGTGTGAGTTAGAAGAGAAGGAGAGATTCTGGAGTGAGTTAGATGAGGTGATGGAGAGTATTCCAAGAGGGGAGAGAGTGGTGATTGGGGCAGACTTCAACGGGCACGTTGGTGAGGGGAACAAAGGTGATGAGGAGGTGATGGGCAGGTTTGGTGTTAAGGGAAGGAACCTAGAAGGACAGATGGTGGTGGACTTTGCTAAGAGGATGAAAATGGCTGTAGTTAACACCTATTTCCAGAAGAGGGAGGAACATAGAGTTACATATAAGAGTGGAGGCAGGAGTATGTAGGTAGACTATATTCTATGTAGACGAGGCAATCCGAGAGAGATCAGTGACTGCAAAGTGGTGGTAGGAGAAAGTGTAGCCAGACAGCAT